CCTGCCTTGGCCTCCTGAAGTGCTGGGATTACAGGTATGAGCTACCTCACTGGCCGCTAAAAGGGCATTTTGATTGTGGTTATCTATTTATCTTCTCTTGCATATTAGATCTATTGGTGGCAATTAAGTTCATCAGAGGTTGTGTGATCAAGAGCAGCCATGTTTAGATAGTCACTGAACTAGAGGAGGAAGGAGTATGCCCTTGCCATACCATTGCTTCTGAATGCAGTAGTTGCATATGACCAGCAGTTGTCCATGGCTAATGTTAGGTTGTTGGCATTTTGGGAATTGTGGGTATGGGGAAAAGAGCATGTTTATCAGACAGCCAAGAGGAGGGATTTTTTTTTTTGTTTTTTTTGAGACGGAATTTTGCTCTTGTTACCCAGGCTGGAGTGAAATGGCACAATCTCGGCTCACCGCAACCTCGGCCTCCTGGGTTGAAGCAATTCTCCTGCCTCAGCCTCCCGAGTAGCTGGGACTACAGGCTGCGCTACCATGCCAGCTAATTTTTTTGTATTTTTAGTAGAGACGGGGTTTCACCATGTTGTTGACCGGGATGGTCTCGAACTCTCTTTTTTTTTTTTTTTTAAGACAGGGGTTTCACCATGTTGGTCAGGCTGGTCTTGAACTCCCGACCTCAGGTGATCCGCCCACCTTGGCCTCCAAAGTGCTTGGATTACAGGCGTGAGCCACTACGCCTGGCCAGTCTCGAACTCTTGACCTTGTGATCAACCCACCTTGGCCTCCCAAAGTGCTGGGATTGTAGGCGTGAGCCACCGCGCCGGGCCCAAGAGGAGGTTTATAGATAAATGTCTATTAGACTGTCACTGAAGCATCCCTTTTCTACCTCATCCTTATGGTTGCACCAGGAGCCATCCTTTAGGGACATTCACATAATTTGATTGAGCTGGAGAAGACATGAAAAATCCTGGCTATATTCAGATACCTGGTTTGTTTGTTCCTAAGGCCCATCTGTATTATCCCTGGGTTCTATGAGGCACCCCTATCTTTATAAATTCCCCTTTTTGCTTAAACTTGTCCAAATTGGGTTTATACTACTTAAGTATAAGATTCCTAACATACATAGTACAGGAGAAACTGTACAGGATGGAGGCCATAGAATAGCGTTTCAAAATGTGTGCTTTGGAGCAAAGAACTGATTTCCAGTACCAGTTCAACTCCTTATTAGTTATATAGCTTTAACAAGTTGCATAACCTTTTGAACCCTTGTATATGTGAAATGGGGGCTCATTAATTTATTCAACAGATTTATTTAATATCTACCACATGCCAGGAATAAAGATGGGCACTGGAAGAAAGCAGTTTTAAAGACAGTCAAAGAGCATAGAAAGGAGATAAGTAATGATACCTTAGAAGCTTGTGAAGATTAAATGACACTGTAGGGCACTAGCATAATAGCTGGCACAATAAGCACCTAATAAATGTTAACACTTATGAAGAGTGAGGAGAAGCATAAAGAGGTTATATGGAGAGTTCATATCAAACTCAATCTGATGTTCATCATTCCACCTAAGTAGGAACTAGCTGTGCTGTTTCTGAAAGGCTACTAGCTTTCTCTATTGCCCGAATTCTTGGGGCCTGTTTGAGAGGCTATGAGGTCATAGAGTCATAGAAAATAATTCAACAGAAGGTCTAATGAAGTTGCCATATTGCTTGTGTTACTTGAATCGGCAGCCGGCTGATAGTAGGGAGGTTATTTGATTAGCAAAGGAAACTATGACGGTGGTTCTCAACCCAAGTCACCTATCAGTGTCACCTGGGAAGCTTTTTAAGATGATGATGATTCTAGAGATGGGCCGACACTGATTTTAAAAATTTTATTTTTAATTGTAAAATAGACAAAATTTACCATCATAACCATTTTTAAGTATATGGTTCAGTAATATTAAGTACATTCATATTGTTGTGTAACTAAAACTTTTTTTTTTTCTTTTGAAACAGCCTGTGTCACCCAGGCTGGAGTGTGGTGATGTGATTTCGGCTCACTGCAACCTCCGCGTCCCGGGTTCAAGCGATTCTCCTGCCTCAGCCTCCCAAGTAGCTGGGATTACAGGCGCCCACCACTACACCCGGCTAATTTTTGCATTTCTAGTACAGACAGGGTTTCATGACGCGAGGCTGGTCTTGAACTTCTGACCTCAGTTGATCCGCCCGCCTTGGCCTCCCAAAGTGCTGGGATTACAGGCATGAGCCACCGCACCCGGCCAATTAAAACATTTTAAAAATAGGTCCCAAGGTGATTATAATATACAGTTGGGTTGAGAACCACTGAGCTGGAATGGAGAATGTTTAGAAATCCTGGTTAAATTCCTGAGTCTACTTCCTCATTTGTAACATGCATGTGAGCTGGTCCTTTCCAATTCCAACATTTCATGATAGTCTCTTCTCCAGCTAGCCCAAGGTCTTGCTCCTATCTAGACCATCATCTATGCTGTACTTTTTCACTCCCCTCTTGAGCTCCTGTTATAATATCCATCTTCTCCCCACTCCCCAACTACTTCACCTCTTTCTGAACTCTTTAGTCACAGATATGATTCTGTTATCTCATTCTTTTACCAAGTGGTGCTCATGAATGATGGCCTATTTTAAAAGGGTGTATGTTGGTCTTATTCTCCAACTCAAACACTCTCACTGGTCTTGAACTTCTGACCTCAGTTGATCCGCCCGCCTTGGCCTCCCAAAGTGGATACACCTCACTATCATCTTGCCCCTTTTGGGCCAACACCGTTTCTTCCACCAACAGACCTTATGTTGACCCACACATTGGGTTGTCACCTCTGTTTTGTCCTCATTTAAGATAATGATGTGTAAGGTCCCTTAAGTAAGTTATTTGAGCAAGCCTACCATGTATCAGGTACAGTGCTAAGCCTTTTATATGCTTTTTCATTCAACCTTAAAACAACCTCACTGAGGGAATTATCCTTTTTACAGATAAGGAAATTGAAGCTAAAAAGTTAAGCAATTTTCCCAAGTCCATATGACAGAATACAACTCCAGGTCTGCTTGACTCCAAAAGGTGTCTGTATTAACTATCATCAGAATCAGGGCCCATTTCCAAACCAGTATGATTTCCCCAGTGCAAGTTTAATGTGAAAGTCATCAGTGATATGTAACAATATCTGCAATTAGTAAACTAGGGACAGGGGTAGTTGCCTTAATGTATCTCATTTAATACTCATAACTGCCTCATTTTAGGCCGGGCGTGGTAGCTCACGCCTGTAATCCAAGCACTTTGGAGGCCAAGGCGGGCGGATCACCTAAGGTTGGGAGTTCAAGACCAGCCTGACCAACATGGTGAAACCCCCGTCTTTAAAAAAAAAAGGAAAAGAAAAGAAAATGCAGGTTTGAGAGGTCTGTGACTGAAACCTATGCTATTCCACATGTACCTTGTTGCCTCCCTTTAGGGATCACCTAAGATAGAATGACTCACATTTATGACATTGGGTCAATAAATCAAGATAATATATATTTGAAAGCACTTTTAAAACACTCATCTGATTTTGAATACTTCTGATAGGCCTCTTAGTCTTCATCCAGGATGATTTGCATAAGTATATGCAAGTTCTTCTACTTAAATTACCACATGAGCTAGTGATCTGACCCAGTCTGAGTTTCTAATGTCACTGCAGAGTGACAAATGAAAAGTATGGGAGGGAGATTTCCATATATGTGTTTTTCTAAAGGTGGACCATAAACACTATCAACATGAAAGGAAATACTCCTTAATAAGTTTGTGCATAGGGAACACTTTGAATCCTTGCTTATGTCACAAACACCTACTTCTGAAACTATGAAATAAGCACTGGATACAACTTCATGAAAGACACATAAAAAGTGTACATACGGGCTGGCAGTGGCTTACATCTGTAATCCCAGCACTTTGGAAGGCTGAGATGGGAGGATTGCTTGAGCCCAGGAATTCAAGACCAGCCTGGGCAACAGGGTGAAAACCCATCTCTACAAAAAATAGAAAAATTAGCTGGGTGTGGTGACATGTGCCTGTGATCCCAGCTACTTGGGGAGCTGAGGTGGGAGGATCATTTGAACCCAGGAGGTTGAGGCTTCAGTGAGCTGTGATAGCATCACTGGACTGTAGCCTGGGTGACAGAACGAGACCTTGTCTCAAAAAAAAAGTGTACATACAAATCCTATTAGATGAAGGCCTACTCTAAAGGTGTCTGAATTATTATGCATGCAGTACATCTGAGAATCAGTGTGGCCTAGGGTTCTTCCCATGAGCTGTGCAGCCAGACAGACCTGGGTTTGGATCCAGGTTTCACCATTGACTAGCTATGTGGCCCTAGTAAATTCTTTTTTTTTTTTTTTTTTGAGACAGAGTTTCGCTCTTGTTACCCAGGCTGGAGTGCAATGGCACGATCTCGGCTCACCGCAACCTCTGCCTCCTGGGTTCAGGCAATTCTCCTGCCTCAGCCTCCTGAGTAGCTGGGATTACAGGCATGCGCCACCACGCCCAGCTAATTTTTTGTATTTTTAGTAGAGACGGGGTTTCACCATGTTGACCAGGATGGTCTCAATCTCTTGACCTCGTGATCCACCCGCCTCGGCCTCCCAAAGTGCTGGGATTACAGGCGTGAGCCACCGTGCCCGGCCTCCTAGTAAATTCTTTAATCTCTCTGATCCTCAAATTTGCATTGTAAGTGCAAACAGTAACAGATCTATCTTATAGGATTGTTGTGTGAATTCAAAGTATCACAGGTAAAAACCTAGCTAACACAGTGTGTGTTCAGTAAATGAGAGCAACTGTTACAATTGACTCATGTACAAGCGTGAAAATGAAGTCCAACTCAGTTTGTTGGCACTGTAAATCAAGAGGTAACACCCTGCTTGGTTAGTTCTTAGGCCAGCATAGTTTACAGAATGAAATGTTCTACATCTGCTAAATTACATTTGGTAAATGAAGAACCAGTTTTAGCCAGATGATTGCAGTGATGATGACAGCATTTTAATAAGATAACATACTCATTTAACACAGCCTTTATTTTCTGTTTTAAAACAGAATTTCCAGGAAACAAAACAAAATACTCACAATGGCTGGGTACAAATGAAATAAAAATCACAGTTTCAAAGAACCAAAATCAGACAGTTGCTGAAAGGCAGATCACTTGGTTTACCAAAAAAAAGTTAATGTCAAAAAGGATTAAAATGAAGTTGAACAACGTTCTATATAATGATACATTCCCCCATTAATAAAGGAGAGTTCACATATACAACTAAATGTTAAGTGTGAAGAGGCTGAAATTCTGCATACTTCATAGTAAATTATGCATGAAAGTTTATTAATTGCATAAACTTCCTGAGTGGCTCCCATGCTGCACTAGGTCTACATGCTTAATATTTCAAACAAATTGTAGCTTTAGGTGATTGAGCATGACAGACCTTGGACAACTGCACTTTCCAGTTAGTTACTATATCTGCTGAGGGTATGTTCTGGACCGCAAACCTCAATCTCAAATCTTAAGTTAGCATGGAAAAGAAATTCAACTTTAAACGAAACAAAAATTAGAGGATGACAAGCACACATTTAGGAGTTTATGTTACGCTGGCACATTTTTCTCAGAGCCCAGTTTCTTTCTTCCCTTCTTGACTTTTAGCATTGTTTGAATTTTTTTAATTAAAAGAACACCTTCCAGAATAGGAGTTGTTGGTTTGGACACTCTTCTAGCTATCTTAGTTGAAAATAACTTTAGTGTTACTTAGTTACTATCCCAGGCTCTTTCATATATTGGATGTCAGGGTCCCTGACCAATGTTTGTGTTCATCTTTCACATACAAAGACTATTTCCAGGGTGACCTGAAGGCATTTGGCTCCATAAAAACTTGATACAAATTTCAATTCAAAGGATTTTATTAAGTTTGAGTGTTACTATCTTACAATCTGCATTTTAAAAATTTTTCAATCTTCAAAATTATACCTATCAAATCAAAGGCCTTTTCTACACACTGCCCCCCTTTTCTAATTCATCTTCTAAACAAAGGCAGGGGGAACAAATCCTTGATAAACTACAGAACCCAAAAACAATCTATTCTAGAAAATGGCCTCCGTACCACCTCAAATAGTTCAAGTTTTTCTGACCCAAACAGAAGGTGAAACAACAGAATCCCAAAATGATGGCATAGAGCTCAGGAAAGTACTTATGCATAATGACTGAAATACCGTATTTACTAGTATTAAACATGCTGTAGTGTTACACAGTAAACATGTGAAACAAGGAATATCTGGTTACAAACATCTGCTGAGTTTTCAAGAAAAAAAGGAATGCATCATTTTCATCACTCAGAAAAGACAGCAAAGAAGAAAGTCAATGCCTTCGTAAACTTTAGAGATTGGATAAAGTTATATAAAACCCTTACTATCAACTAATGCATTTGGCGGTTATAAGGTAACAAAATATCACTGCAGATACCTAGCAGTGTGCTAATATATGTTGAATGACAGGCCATTGCTGAAGGATTTGTCAAATATTTCACTGTGGTAGTTAAAGCAATTTCAACCCATAGCCCTTTAGGCACACAGACGAGAAATGCATCTCTAATAAAAATGCAAAGTTATAGGCACTGGATTGTCTAATTCAGGTACTTTCTTACCATTTGTTTAATTTTTAGCTAGCTCCTACACCTAAGTCCTATATTGCCACCAGTTTCAATTATTATTCTGCTCTCCACCCCCAAATCCCCAAAGCATATTTCACAGAAGCACATGGCTCTCCACTTAAACACAGACTGGTGGCAGAGTGATGGTCCCTCTCACCTCAAACTCTTGGCTAGCACTGGGAAAAAGAGGCAGACCAGATTTATAATTTGAAAGACTACTGAGAATCAAGGCAAAAAAAGCATGTTTCACAGGCAGTGTTTACTTGTGCACCCAAAACAGCACTGAAAACGAGGTAGTTAAACAAAATTAATTGGACTAGAATTAAATCTGGGGTTCTAAAATGATACATCTCATCAAACTGTACATAACACTCCACACTCAATCCACAAATCACAGCAGAAAAGTGCCTTTTAAACTTTCACAGATAATTTTGCTGTCAAACGATTAGAATTCATGCTTGATATAAAACTAGCAAGGAAGGGATGAAAAACAGAATGAATATTTGTTATATTACAGCAAATTACCTTAAATAGAGATTCAAGACTGCTACAAATATACATAGGGTTATTTTCATTAGTACACCAATACTGGTTTCATACTCTTATGATGTTACACCCAACTTCACAGACATAGCAGCAGGTACTTCATGATGAAATGCTTACATTGCCACATATGGAGATACAGTACTATTCATCAGACTTGCACTTTGAGAAGTAAACATGGTGGCTGGACATACAGACTATCCTCCAAATAAACTCTACAAGCAGGATGGTTAGTACAACCATTTTCTCCTCTACAAGAAGGAAAATGAAAAGGACAGATTTGTGTGTTTTTTGGAAAGGAAGGCCCTTTTTATATAGTAGGTTCTTTGTTAAGTAAGAAGGGAATTTCTGAGCTTTACCTCAAGTTAATTATTTCTGCGGAGGAAAAGTACCTCAGGCAAGGATGAAAATAGCACTATTATATGATTTAGCAAAATTATGAAATAATGCAAAACCCCCGGATAGAAAACTAGCCAGTATTTACAGTCAAAGTGACTATAATCTGAACCAAACATGTAAGTCATGGGAAAAAATAATTTCAATAAAACCCCACAGTGATGAGAATAACAGTTTTTTCCATTTCTGCACAAGCTCACTTTTTTCTGTATTTTTAAATGTACACGTTACATATACATAACGTATACATATATGATAACCCAGTTACTGCAGTCAGCATGGAGACAGAAGTACACTATTCACCATCTTCAAACTTTAGAAGACTACTTTTCTTTCCAGCAAAAACCTGAAAAGATTGTAAATATTACAAGGCACTGCAAGAGTCTGCAGGCAAACAAGAATGATGAATTATATGTGGAATAGAGGTGGTGGTGGCCAAAGGCCGAACGTATGATGTAGAGCAGTCATTAATACATGTAATTGTACATGCCAGCCATGGAGCTTTTTTCATCCTGGGGTACACTAATGATTGTGACTAGAGAAGAAGGGGTCCTAAAATCTGCAGTATTTTCACTTTATAGGTTGTATGTCTCAGTGTAACTACACAAAGCTGACTTTTATAATGACACACAAGCAGTTTTAAAGAATTATGGATTTTAGGAGCATTGTTTTTATATTTATGGAAAACAGTGCAATGCAAGCATTTGCATTACACTAATGTCCTAAAATCACTTTAAATGGCAAACCAATACTGTACAAGAAATTTGAAGAATCTGTACGTAACATTTGGACTCATACAAAACAGCAAGTTCCATGAAAAGAAAGTGGATTTTATCAACAGCAGTTCTCAAAATGCTGCCCTAGATGCCTCAAATTATAGTGACAGAATCTTCGTGATAATGGATGTGATCCTCAGGTAAGCAACATAAGACACTTCTTTTTTTTTGGAAAGGAGGTACTGAATGCCACAAAGTAGACTGTGCAAAAAAAAAAAAAAGTACACCCATTAAGTTTTCCTCATTTCCTGGCAAGCCCATGGGGTACAACTGTTAGAATGTGGAGGAAAATCTGTTAACGGTAATGTCGGGTAACAGTGTGGAATGTTTACTGGCAGACAGAACTCCTAATTAGGTAAATGTGTACTGGAAATGACCTTGAAGTCTTCAGAGTGGAAGGTAAGTAGTTTGAACATGAATACTTAGTTGGTAAATACCATTTTAATAATTCTATTTGGGTTTCACAGACTGAGCATTAGGTAACCCTGTGACTAGCCTTTAAGATTATTATGGTTAACCTTCTTAAAAAACCAAAGGTGTACATTTTGACATTGCCTCCCCTCTTCCTAAAACTGGATAAAACCCAGTAAAGTGCAACTTGACAGTGATCTCTCTCAGATTCTAAAGAGGCTGCCAAACTCATTTAAGATCTAAAATCATCTAAGATACTATAGATACTAAAAAGAAATTATAACAACCAAAAATGGTAATTAAAAAAAGAGCTAAGGACAACGTAAATAGTCTCCTTCTAGGGTCTACTATCGCACTGCAGAGCAGTGTATACCCCACATCTCTTAAAACCCTGTAAAGCCAGTGTTTCATGTGTAAGTCTCAAAACCTACTGTGTCAAGTAAATTTCACTTCAGAAGAATGGACTGAGGTGTAACTTTAATCCCCTTTGTTAGGAATACAAGGATTCCCCCCAAATGAGATTTATCATATGAGCTGTAATATATGCCTTGCAAAAGAATGCAAACCAAACCAATGCCTCTCAGATGCTCCAAACCAATGTAGTATGCATGTGAGAAACAAGGAGATAGCTGCTTTGAATTATTACTGAATCCTTAAAAGAGCAGCAGTATCTGCAGAATCAAGGAACTGTTACAGTTCTGTTTTTTTCCCCTTTCCCTCTGCCTCACCCAAAACAAGGCTTCATCCTACTGCTGTGATGATGGGAATTCACATTAAAAAGGGCTCATGTTCTGTATTGGTTGATGAAATTATTCTAATTTTTTGGGAGGCTGAGGCAGGCGGATTACAAGGTTAGGAGTTCAAGACCAGCCTGGCCAACAGAGTAAAACCCCATTTCTACTAAAAATAGAAAAATTAGCCGGGCATGGTGGCGGGTGCCTCGTCACAGCTACTCAGGAGGCTGAGGCAGGAGAATCGCTTGAACCCAGGAGGCAGAGGTTGCAGCAGTGAGCCGAGATCACACCTCTGCATTCCAGCCTGGGTGACAAAGAGAGATTCCATCTCAAAAAAAAATTGTTCTAATTTTATACACCAAAACGTTTCCTGCAGCAAGTTACCCTGCCTTCTGTGAAAGGTAGACCTAAGACAAACATGTGAAAATCCCATAAGACTCTGGCTGATGGAAGGTCTCAGTTCATCCACATTTGGGGAGAATCAATCTAAATAATTTTAAACATTTTTAAAGAAAAGTATCCAGCTGCAGATAGCAGCAGTTAAAAAAAAGGGGGGGTGGGGGTGGAGGGGCTTCTAATAATTCAAGGAAAGTATCCTGGAAATGGTAATGCTCAAGGTGAGCTTATTAAAGCATTCTGAACAGTATTTTTAAAAAAATCAAGTATAAAAGAGGATAGAATTTGAAGTGAAAAAACACTTCTGTGTGCAGTGTTCTATGTGCAAACTGCACATTTCTGCAGAATGATGAGCTGTATCAAATATCACACTGAAACAAAAAATATATAGTCTAAAGTAAACTCAAATGAGAGAAAATATGACACAACCCAAGAGGAACAAACTTTAATATCTTAGGTGTCCTGAAAACAATTCAGAAGAAACCTCCCTTTTCTTCATCATCTACTGTGATTCATTTAGGCCCAGGAGGGATTGTGGCAGGATTCTGCACTGATGAAGTTGGAAATGGCTGCATATTCATCCCTGGCTGGAATGGTCCCCCAGATTGGGTGGGAATTACTATAGACGGTTGTGTTGTTGCTGAAATTCCTACCCACTGGACTGGATACGCCGTCCCCCCCACAGCATTATACTGACAAACATGGGGCATTCCGTATGATGATAATGGCCCAGGAAATGAAGGGAGTGAGAGTCCTTGTGGCAAGGAAGTTGGGACAGCTCCACGGATTTGGGACAGAGAAGAAATCCATGTTGGTGTGTAGCCCATAGTAGATGGAGTATTCTAACAGAAACAAAAATAAAAACCAAAGATCAGTTTATTTGGTATATGCTTTTATCAATCTATATATTCCTTCCTATTCTTTTTTTCTCTATTGCTGCTGCACAAATAAATATTCCTTCTGAGTCTTTTTGGTTTACTGTTCCTATTACTACTATCAGTGACTACCATTTTTGGAGTACCTTTCTGTATGCGAACCATAATTATGTACTTTAATTAATGGCATCTTCAAAACTGCCCTGCCTTACCTTTTCATAAAGTTATTTCCATGCATATATACATAGAAAGATACTTGACATGATGTTTATCTAAAGTTAATGAAAATTATTTCTGGGTGGTGGGATTTGAAGGTGGTATTTTTAAATTTGTACTTTTCTGCACTGATTAAATTATATGATGAACATTATTAGTTTATAGATAATAATCTGATTTTTTTAACAAGACAAATTGGAGAGGTTATACATTTTCTCTTGGATATTTCAAAGGCATCTCAGAAACAAATGCCTAAAAACCAAATGTGTGATCTTCCCCTACCAAAGCACACTGTCTGCTCACATTCCCCATCTTGGTGATTGGTACACTAGAATAGTATCCAGTTATGCGAGCCAGAAACCTAGACTTCATACCTCCCCTTCACCATACATCCATTCCATCACCAAATCTTGTCCATTTTATCTCTTAAGCATTTTTTGGAATCTGTTCACTTCTCTTCAACTCAACTTCTCCCATCTTCCAGACCAGTCAAGAGTTACCATGACTAACTCTTTTTTTTTTTTTAGATGGAGTCTTGCTCTGTCGCCCAGGCTGGAGTGCAGTGGCATGATCTCAGCTCACTGTAACCTCCACTGCCTGGGTTCAAGTGATTCCCCTGCCTCAGCCTCCTGAGTAGCTGGGATTACAGGCATGTGCCACCACGCCCGGCTAATTTTTGTATTTTTACTAGCGACGGGGTTTCACCATGTTGGCCAGGATGGTCTTGAACTCCTGATCTTATGATTCACCCGCCTCAACCTCCTAAAGTGCTGGGATACAGGCGTGAGCCACTGCGTCCGGCCTACCACGACTAACTCTTTTTTTTTTAGTTTCGCTGTTGTTACCCGGACCGGAATGCAATGGCACGATCTCGGCTCACCACAACCTCCGCCTCCTGGGTTCAGGCAATTCTGCCTCAGCCTCTTGAGTAGCTGGGATTACAGGCACGCGCCACTATGCCCAGCTAACTTTTTGTATATTTAGTAGAGACGGGGTTTCATCATGTTGACCTGGATGGTCTCAATCTCTTGACCTCGTGATCCACCCGCCTCGGCCTCCCAAAGTGCTGGGATTACAGGCTTGAGCCACCGCGCCTGGCCAATTTTTGTATTTTTAGTAAAGATGGGGTTTCACCTTGTTGACCAGGATGGTCTCGATTTCTTGACCTCGTGATCCACCCACCTCAGCCTCCCAAAGTGCTGGGATTATAGGCGTGAGCCACTGCGTCCGGCCTACCATGACTAACTCTTAACCGGACTGCCACCATCTACCCTTACCTCCGATATATAATCCTTTTCTCTTGTTTGAATCAGAGTCGTTTTTTCAAAAAACAAGTCTGATCATCATGTCAACCCTAGGGCTTAAATGGCCTTTTGTCTTTCTTAAAATACAGATGAAATTCCTTATCATTACCACTTTTAAGACCCCATCTACCAATAGATTAAAAAAAAAAAAAGACCCCATCTACCTTATATCCATTGTGCACTAAATCCTCCTTGCTCTCTTCACTTCAGCCAAACTGGCCTACTTGCAATCCCTGCACGCTCCTTTCCTCGTACAGGGCGCTTTTGCGTATGTTGTCCTTTCTGCATGGAATCATTATTCCCTCCCCTTCACCTAGCTAACACTACTCATCCTTCAGAGCTCTGCTTAATGATCACTTTCTCAGTGAAGCTTTCCTCGATTTTCCTTTACTAGGTCAAATTTCCCTTATTGTAACCTGTATCTTTCTTTTGTGATTCTTGTTCCAGTTGCAATTTTATATTTGTATATGCAATTCTGTTATGTCTAACTGTCTTAGCATAGCATAAATTCCATGAGCATAGGGACCATACTTGTTTTTACTCACCAAACCCATGTCCAGCAGAGGGCTTGGTACATAACTATTAAGCAAACAAGTATTTCTAAGTAAGAATACAGAACAGTAAAATGCAAGAGCATTAGTGAGATGGGCTCTATACACAACAGATAAAACCAACTGAACCTATAAATACAAAACTAGTTACCATATATAGGGTACCTACTATGTAACACGTGTTGTCTCATTTAATCCTGACAGCAATCCTGTAAGGCAGGTATTCTGCTTGAAAGACATGAAAACTAAGGCACAGAGAGATCAAATGACTTGTTTAAAGTCACACAACTAGTAAGTGACTGAGCTGACATCAGAACCCAAGTCTGTTAAATGACCTTCACTACTTTTATTCACACACCATTTTCTATTCACCCTTCCTCCAAACATCCTCCATTATACTCCAATAAACCGTCCTCCAACTAGAGTCGACAAAAGCCTCCATTCACACAGTACTCAGAGGTTCTCTCACTGGCAGTACAAATGCATTTATGTCTTGAAATTTGCCTCTAAGGGCTTCCAATTTTTACAATGGTGATGCTATCTGTGTATAAACTGGTGTCACGAGTAAGATAAATACAGAGTTCCCAAGGAGATACCCTGCTCACCTGTTTGGGAAATTGAGAATTTTCAACACTTTTTTTTCAATATTAACAATAAATGCATTATTTATTTAACAAACTATATGACTATATATACATACATACATGTACACAAAGGTAACACACAGAGATAAGTCTCTTTCAATTATGACTGTTAAAATTCTAAGCCCTGATTCACATTTTAATAGGTTTACTCACTTTGAAACAAAATGTCACTTACTTTAAAAATACAAAAACACAGAAATGCACAAAGTAAAATAAGGCTCAAATTCCACCATCCAGCATATTTTTCATATTTCTCTATGCATATCTAATGTATATACTTTTGCATAAATTATATTATACTGTGTATGCTGTTTTATAAGCCTGACTTCTTCCTACTCTAGAATTCACTGTAGGCATCTTTCTTCTTTTCATTGCATGTATACCTGACTAAGTCCACATGCAATAACTAGGCATCTTGTCTTTAAAACACCTCTTATAATATTCTAGCTTAAAGAGCTTTATCATTCTTTTTCATAATGAACAAATAACTTATTAGATCTAAGAATACTGACATGAAAGATAGGAAAGCTTTTCCTTAAAACCCAAACTCTCGCAACACAGGACTGAATTAACCTTCATTCCAGATGCTTTCTTCTTTGATACTTGCCGGATTAAAAAATAAATAGAACAGTCTAGCCAGGCGCGGTGCCTCACGCCTGTAATCCCAGCACTTTGGGAGGCCAAGGCAGGTGGATCATGACGTCAGGAGATTGAGATCATCCTGGCCAACATGGTGAAACCCTGTCTCTACTAAAATACAAAAAAAAAAAAAAATTGGCTGGGCGTGGTGGTGCACACCTGTAGTCCCAGCTAGTTGGGAGGCTGAGGCAGGGGAATCGCTTGAACCCGGGAGGTGGAGGTTGCAGTGAGCTGAGATCGTGCCATTGCACTCCAGCCTGGGGGACAGAGCGAGACTCTGTCAAAAAACAAACAAACAAACAAACAAAAAACCAGTTTAAAACAAGGGTCAGCAAACTACAGCCTACCACCTCTTTTTGTGAAAAAAAGTTTTTTTGTGGCTGGGCATGGTGGCTCACGCCTATAATCCCAGCACTTTGGGAGGCCGAGGCGGGTGGATCACGAGGTCAAGAGATCGAGACCATCCTGGTCAACATGTGAAACCCCATCTCTACTAAAAATACAAAAAATTTGCTGGGCTTGGTGGTGCGTACCTGTAATCCCAGCTACTCGGGAGGCTGAGCCAGGAGAATTGCCTGAACCCAGGAGGCAGAGGTTGCGGTGAGCCGAGATCGTGCTATTGCACTCCAGTCTGGGTAACAAGAGTGAAACTCCGTCTCAAAAAAAAAAAAAAAAGTTTTTTTTTTTTTTTTTTTTTAGACAGAGTCTTTCTCTGTCACTCAGGCTGGAGTGCAGTGGCACGATCTCAGCTCACTATAAACTCTGCCTCCTGGGTTCAAGCAATTCTCTGCCTCAGCCTCTAGAGTAGCTGGGATTATAGGCACCCGCCACCACACCCAGCTAATTTTTATATTTTTAGTAGAGATGGGGTTTCACCATCTTGGCCAGGCTGGTCTTCTACTCTTGACCTCATGATCTACCCGCCTTGGCCTCCCAAAGTGTTGGGATTACAAGCGTGAGCCACTGTGCCCGGCCATGAATAAAGTTTTAATGGAACAAAGCCATGTCCATTTGGTTACATATTCTCTATGGCTGCTTTTGCACTCTAATGGAGTTGTATAACAGAGTAGTTGGAAGAGTATAGCTTGAAAAGCCTAAAATATTAACTAATTGGCTCCTTCCTCTCAGAAGTTTACTGACTCATGGTCTAAAAGATAATCTGCTCAAAGATATAATGAATCGAAACAAGGATCAAAGTCTCTATGTTATCAAGTCATACCACTCTCTCACAGTAACCATAACTATAGACGTAAGCACATCAATTTCTATGGTTTTAATTCTCGTAAATCAAGTGAATCAGGTATAAACAACTTACTTCAGGTACTTTGTTCCAATTTTCTGTCTCTAATTTGTGTTGATTTTGTTTAAGTTGGTTTAAACTTGGCTTAATAAGAGAATTTCCTACTGCTTCCTTTGTCCAGTCATCCACCAGCTTGTGTAAGTCGTCTGTGAACATCCCTTTTTTACTGGCTGGGGACTGTTGGCATGATGCTGTATTATTCTCCACACACACTGGATCTACGAGAATAAAAAAAAAAAATAACAAGGAAACCATGAAAAGGAATTAAAACTCATAATCAGATAACTCTTCTTTGGCCAACAATGCAGTTAACAGAACCACACATGGGGTGTACATCAGGGTGACCGGACACTTGTTTATCTGAGACATCCTGGTTTAAAGCTGTTGTCCTGGAGTAATTGCTAACAGTACATTCTTTCACTCTCAAAAGTTTCCTCTTGTAACAGCAAATTATATGGTTATCTTAGGCATAAATCAAATATAATAAATAGTATCTCAAAAAAATTAATATAAACTCTAATCTTTTCATCAGCCTCCTCAGATAAGTGCTTAGAAGAGTTAAAGTAGAATCAAAGAATGTTAAAAATGGAAAAAAAGGTCTAGTGCAAGCCACTTTTATAATGGGAAAACAAGGCCCAGAAAAAGTAAATTGACATGCCCAAGTTCTTGTAACTAGTTACCTGCAGAGACAGGCCTGGAACTCTAAAGCCTAGACAAAGAAAGATACCCTATCTTTTCAATATACCATACTGACTTTCAAGAAGCTTCAGAAAACTAGAATCTCATTTTATTTTTTACCGCTATTTCTGTTGATGATTTAAAAAGATGAATGTGTATCTAGAATAGCAGAAATGAGGACACAGATGGTTTGATGAGCCTCCTGAGTTGTGGAGCATAAGATGTTCAAATAGCCAGGCACGGTGGTTCATGCCTGTAATACCAGCACTTTCGGAGGCCAAGGCAGGCAGATCACCTGAGGTCAGGAGTTCGAGACCAGCCTGACCAATATGGAGAAACCCCGTCTCTACTAAAAATACAAAATTGACCAGGCATGATGGCGCATGCATGTAATCCCAGCTACTCAGGAGGCTGAGGCAGGAGAATTGCTTGAACCCAGCAGGTGGAGGTTTCGGTGAGCCGAGATTGCGCCATTAACCTCCAGCCTGGGCAACAAGGGTGAAACTCTGTCTCAAAAAAAAAAAAAAACAAAAAAAACAAACGATGTTCAAATAAATGAAAGAAATCAATTATAGAGAACTCCATAGATATACTTTCCTAATCTGAACATCACACTAAATCTTTACATAATAATTTAGTACTATTATTCATGCTTACAATATTATTCTCACAGAAAACATTCATAGAATTCCAATTTGTCTAACTGAATTAGAAACCAAAAACTTACAGAATGGGTCAAAAATTAACTTTAGGAAATAGTTGTGAAATTTAAGCACAATAACAGTTCCAGGGATTTAACAAGCATGTAAACATGTCTTATACATTTGTTATAGTACTTTTTTTTCTTGCTTTGAGGAGTCTGTCACTCTTGCCTGGGCTGGAGTGTAATGGCATGATTGGCTCACTGCAACCTCCACCTTCAGGGTTCACATGACTTTCCTGCCTCAGCCTCCTGAGTAGCTGGGATTACAGGCGCACACCACCACACCAGAATAATTTTTCGTATTTTTAGTAGAGATGGGGTTTCACTATGTTGGCCAGACTGGTCTCAAACTCCTGACCTCGTGATCTGCCTGTCTTGGCCTCCCAAAGTGCTGAGATTATAGGCATGAGCCACTGCGCCTGGCTGGTACTTTTTTTAATCATGAAAAAAATAAAATGTAAGAGTTAATGCAAGAAGCCTCCATATTAACACTTTTTGAAACTTATAACAGGCCTGTGACATAAGCAAGTATCATTCTGTTTTATAGATGGTGAAACTGGGATCCAGAAGATCAACAACTGGAGTTATACGCTGGGGCTAGAACCCAGATATCCTACTGTCAGGTCAGTAGGCTTTCCATCGTACTCCATCATACATGCCGACTGCCGAGGTGAGTGGATCACCTGAGGTCAGGAGTTCACAACCATCCCGGTCAACGTGATGAAACTTCTCTCTACTAAAAATACAAAAATTAGCTGGGTGTGGTGGTGGGCACCTGTAATCCCAGCTACTCAAGAGGCTGAGGCAGGACAATCACGTGAACCCAGGAGGTGGATGTTGCAGTGTGCCGAGATCACGCCATTGCACTCCAGCCTAGGCAACAGAGCAAGACTCCGTCTCAAAAAATAATAATAAAAATAAAATAAATGCCAACTGATATAATAAAGTAGGAAATGGAAGAAGATATTACTTTATAAAGGGGAACATGACAATCTCAATGATTGCATATGCATAGTCTGTGAGTTTCTATGAACACTATACTACTGAAAGTTTAGATTCAAAGGTGATTAAATATTTTTGTTCGTTTGTTTTGAGACAGAGTCTTGCTTTGTCACCCAAGCTGGAGTGCAGTGGCACAATCTTGGCTGACTGCAACCTCCACCTCCTGGGTTAATGTGATTCTCATACCTCAGCCTCCCAAGTAGCTGGAATCACAGGCGTGCGCCACCACACCCGGTTAATTTTTTTATTTTTGGTAGAGACGGTTTTACCACGTTGGCCAGGCTGGTCTCAAACTTCTGACCTAAAGTGATCTGCCCGCCTCAGCCTCCCAAAGTGCTGGGATTACAGGTATGAGGCACTGCTCCTGGCCTTAAATATTAAATGGAAACATAGCAGTGTTATATAAGAAGAGTTTAATGAATTAATAAGAACATTCCCATATATGAGTTTTATAACAACATGTACTAATTTGGGGCAAACATGATATATCAAAATGACATACCAACTTGGGATCCCAATGTTTCTAAGACATAAAATCCTGAGACACACAAGTCAGCCTATAACAAAAGTATCATTTCTTCTTGTTATCCCTTTGCACATTCATCTAGATCCTGTTTATTACAGTGAGGGAGCAAAGAGCACAACATAGTTGGGGAAGACTTTGGAGCCCAAGCTTTTATAGACTGTGTTCTCACCTAGAAGAATGTCAGCAGGTAGGATTAAAAAGAGAAGAGCCGGGCGCGATGGCTCAAGGCTGTAATCCCAGCACTTTGGGAGGCTGAGTCGGGTGGATCACGAGGTCAAGAGATAGAGACCATCCTGGTCAACATGGTGAAACCCCATCTCTACTAAAAATACAAAAAATTAGCTGGACATGGTGGCGCATGCCTGTAATCCCAGCTACTCAGGAGGCTGAGGCAGGAGAATTGCCTGAACCCAGGAGGCGGAGGTTGCGGTGAGCCGAGATCGCGCCATTGCACTCCAGCCTGGGTAACAAGAGCGAAACTCCCTCTCAAAAAAAAAAAAAAATTAAATTAAAAAAATATAAAGAGACGATAGCCAGAAACATGAACATATCAATGCCCACATTTTTGCCTGTCCATCTTTCTTAGGAATATGTTTGTGCCCAATCCCTTCACCTTCTAAAACATTTGTTGCAGAGAGGTTAGGTCTAAATGTCATTAATTTAAGAACATTTCTGGGGCTGGCATGGTTGCTCACGCCTGTAATCCAATCATTTTGGGAGGCTGAGGTGGGTGGATCACCGGAGGTCAGGAGTTTGAGAGCAGCTTGGCCAACACGGTGAAACTCCATCTCTACTAAAAATACAAAATTAGCCAGGCATGGTGGCAGGTACCGGTAATCTTAGCTACTCGGGAGGCTGAGGCAGGAGAATTGCTTGAACCTGGGCAGCAGAGGCTGCACTGAGCCGAGAATGTGCTATTGCACTCCAGCCTGGGGGACAGAGTGAGATTTCATCTCAAAAAACAAAACCAACCAAGCAACCAAATGTACAAACATTTCTGGGTGAGAGAGAAAAAGATGAGAAAAGAAAAAAGAACATTTCTCCACTAAGGGAAATACAATGTTAGGACTCTTCTAGTGTATAAGCTCTGGTCTAGCAAGTTATCTTAAATACACACACACACACACACACACACAGAATTATCAAGAACAATGTGCCATACGAAAAGGAAAAAATGCTATTTGAATGTTATTCAGTGCCTATGCTTTACATAAGGTGGGATCATTTATTTATTGATTTCACCTAAAAGTTACTTATATCATAATATAAAAGACCACTTAATTCAAAGCTCACAAACCAGAAAGTACCCGATCAAAGCACATTAAAGTAAGTATTGTGCAAATGTGGTTTATGGTAAGTAGTAATAACACAGTAACTTCAAAGGTACTCTTTAATATTCATTTCTTATTGATTAAATGAATAAAACCAGAGTTCAGTTCTTGATGTTCTTTTTTGTTCTTTCCCCCAAGGTGATGCCTATATTCAGACAGTTTCAGTGATCACTCCACTGCATTATTTCTGTCTTATCCTATACCTTCATTTCTCTCTTCAATCACAATCTCACAACCAATTCCCAAATGTATTTTTCTACTTGGATATTAATAAATTATTCAATTCAGGCCAGGCACAGTGACTGACACCTGTAATCCTAGCACTTTAGGAGGGTGACACAGGAGGACTGCTTGAGGTCAGGAGTTCAAAACCAGCCTGGGCAACATAGGAAGATCCCATCTCAAAAAAACTTTGCTGGGCATGGTGGCACACACCAGTAGACCAAGCAACTTGGGAGGCTAAGGCGGAATGATTGCTTGAGCCCAGGAGTGCAAGGTTACACTGAACTATGACCACGCTACTGCACTCCAACCTGGGTGGACAGTGAGACCCTGTCTCTAAAAAACTAAACTAAAAAAATAAATAAATCGGGCCAGGCACGGTGGCTCACGCCTATAATCCCAGCACTTTGGGAGGCCGAGGTGGGTGGATCACAAGGTCAAGAGATCGAGACCATCCTGGTCAACATGGTGAAACCCCGTCTCTACTAAAAATACAAAAATTAGCTGGGCATGGTGGTGTATGCCTGTAGTCCCAGCTACTCGGGAGGCCGAGGCAGGAGAATTGCTTGAACCCAGAAGGCGGAGGTTGCGGTGAGCCGAGATCGTGCCATTGCACTCCAGTCTGGGTAACAACAGCGAAACTCCATCTCAAAAAATAAATAAATAAATAAATAAATAATTAAATTCAATATACCTGGAGTCAAACCTATTGCTGCTTAAATGTAATACTTCCAAGATATTGCATTTTTTTCCAAA